AGACAGCACTCTTAAGGCTCTGAATATTCACTTGGCATAAATTAAGAAATAGCCTAACCACACATGCACACACACACAAACAAACAAACAGAGGATTCGTGTTCAAGGAGACTTGTTATTCACCTAGGAGATCTTATGCACAGCTCAGGCTTTTGTGGAAGATTATATTATTAGATTATTCACATGGTAATTTGATTCAAATTAAGACGGTTCATTTTTAATACATCTCATGTCCTGATTGACCAAAGAATTGAAAAGGTGCCTCCAGAATGTTGGTCTTAATTCAGTCACTCTGGTTTGTGGTCTTTCACAGTCCTAAATTAAATTCACAGTTTAAATCAAATCAATCCACTAAATGAACAATTAAATTTTAATAAACCTTGAATGGCCTACAGTTGCTCACTTATTCAGCAAATAAATAATACATGAACAGTGAAATACCCCATCTCTGAAAATACTGTCTTCAGAAAAGTTTCGATTGCACATTACCTCAGTATAATGAATAAAGTTGTGTTTTTAAGTGCAACGGTGCTTTGTTCTCAAATAACCTGGGAAACCGCTAGCCTATTTCTGCTGTTCCATAAACGCCACCTGTCAGAGAGTGAATTTGCATTTTCATTCTTACTGTATGCCGTTTTTGTTCAGACCAATGAAAAAATTGGACTAAAAGTGTTCTAAAAATGTACACAATTCGGATAATGAGGTGATATATATATATATATATATATATATATATATATATATATATATAATTTTGTATCAGACGTTTGTATAAGACTTTTATTTTGTTTTCTGTTTTTATATCACAATCCGCCCTAACACATTTTGTTTGAAACAGCCTTCCATAAACGATAGAACAAGACTACAGTAAGGACAACAGAAGAAGACTACAGTAAGGATGACAGAACAATACGACATAAACAGAGAACATACACATCAACATATAGGCCTACTAATTTATCTGAACAAGTAAGCATTGACTGTAGACAAGGACAAATCTATAGTGCAAAGCACAAAACAGTCGATTCATTTTTGGCACAAATGGAACCTCATACACTAAGATATCAGAGAAACAAATCAGCATCTCACCAGACCCTTTCATTAATATTTTATGATTTAACTCTCAAGAATCGTTTGTATTAGGCCTATTTATATTAGGCCTCTGAGCAAATTATACAGCACAGCCTCATACCTAAATAAAGTTTAGCATGAACACTAAATTCATTTAAGGACCCCTGGTCATCTCTAAATTGTGTCTTCAGGGATATTTTATTTACTCCTTTTATGTGGGATTTGCTCTCCCTCGTTTGATGGTGTTTGGTGATGCAGCTTTTGTTCTTTTTCTCTTTGGTCTGGAGGAGAGTCTTATCCAGTGCTTATCACACAAATTTATTCGTATTTCCCCCCCCTCTGCATTTCAGCCCATTTTCAGCATATACAACTTCAAAGTATCATTTGGCGATATGATATCCTAGCTTCCCTTATCTCTATACAACACTGATGCTTCTTTTGAACTTTTAGCTGGGATGTTGAGAGACATTGTTGAGTGATGACGAGGCGATAACATTTGGCAGATTCTCTGTGTTCTCATAGAGCAAATAGTGTTGGGGTTCCTATTAATTCGCCCATTCGTAAAAAAATGTGGATTGGCATTTACCTTGCCATTGTTTAAAGACAAATAAGACAAAGGACACACGATGGAGATGGCATTTTCAGCGTGTGCTCTAAGTTCTTTTTATGAGGAACACATGTAATTGTTAGATTTTTTTAGACATTTTTTTAATACTTTCTGCTCAATCTATGTAGCTTTTATTTTTTGTGCATTTTTAACACCAGTTGATTAGATTGCAGAGTGTACAGAGTGTGCAGGTTGAATAAGCAGAGCAATGGCACAGCTGTACATAAAATATTGCAATCCACACAACATAATGAGAGACATATCATAGTTCAGAAGAGGACACATTGTTGGTGTGCGTCTCATCTGTGACCAGTACAGCAAGTCTTTGTGGTGTATTGAGAGCTATGTATCCAGGATAATGTCAGCAGGCCATCACGTAGGACGAACCACATCCAACAGGAGTAACTGTCGATGCAAAAGGAAGCTGTCTGAAAGGGATGTCCAGGTACTGAGCCGGATTGTCTCCAAAAAACATAAAACCACTGCTGCCCCACTGCTGGTTTCCACCAAAACTGTTTGCCGGGAGCTCCACAGAGTCAATATTCATGGTCGGGCTGCTATAGCCAAACCTTTGGTCACTCGTGCCAATGCCAAATGTCAGTTTCATTTGAGCCAACAGTGCAAATTTTGTGCTGTGGGCAATATGAAACATTGTTCTCTGATGAGTCCATTAGATCAGTGACGGCTTGGGCTGCAATATCAGGGCATTCCCTAAGGTGTTTGATAGGAGCGTCACTGCCAAGGCCTACTGAACCATTCTGGAAGACCTGATTCAAACATTGTACCCTGAAGGGGGTGCCGCTGATGCCGTCTATCAGCATGATAATGCATCAATACAGAATGCTTTGATGAACATGAATGTGAAGTTGAACATCTCCTATGGCCTACACAGTCACTAGATCTAAATGTTTTTGATCCACTTCGGGCGTATTTTGGAGGAACAAGCCAGAAAATGTTTTCCTCCACCAGCATCACATAGTGACCTGGTCACTGTCCTGGAAGAGGAATGGCTCAAAATCCCTCTAGCCACTGTGCAGGACTTGTATCTGTGATTCCCAAGACAAATTGATGCTGTATTGGCTGAAAAAGAAGGCCCTGGCCTACACCATACTAATAAATTATTGAGGTCTAAAACCAGATGTTTCAGTTTCATTGTCCCACCCCTGTAGAAATAACTATTATTGTTAAATACGGTATGTGGTACACAGGCACCCCCTAATGGTTAAACCAAGAACTGAACCTCTTAAAGCCATATTCTATCTATCTATCTGCTGTTTTTTTTCTGGCATATAATTACAAAATAATGTTAAAAATATATGTATAAATAAAAAAATCATAGAAAGAAAAGATCATTGAAAAAAAATAACATTTGTATAACAAGTTGTACTTCCATCCAGCCCAAGGAACTTAAATGGGCTGAGGAAGTCCATGCCCTGCTGCGGCTGAAATGAGCTCTCCTCTGCTGGAAGACCCTCATCTGTTCTCTCCCCTGAAGGAGGACGTCACGCCAATCAAGAAGCTTGTGGCTTTAAAGGGCAGCAAACTCGGATGAGAACTCTGTATGTACACAGATAACAGAGGAACGGAATACTCTGGGACTGGTGGTAAATCACACTTTTATTATCAGCTTACTTAGTCGCTGGATTTGTACAAAGATCAAATAATGCATTACAAGACCAGACCATTGGACATTTTTATACGCACACAAAATCAGACATAAGGATCGTAGCAGGGCAGCTATGCAAACCTTGAGCAGACGACAACAGACCGGATAAACAGGGCCATGTAATGTGGTTTCAGAAAAGCATTAGCAACACACACACACACACACACACACACAGAGGCACAATTCACTAGCACACCAGGTGGCGGAGTTACAGCAACTACAACATGTCAGGACTAAAGAATCACCTCTTCGTTACTAAGTTCACAGTTGACCAACTATGGTGTAGGTCATGGATTGTAAGCTTTCTTATCCAACATTATAATCAACAGTCAGGATTGGCTTTGCCTCTGATTCGGTCAGTCCTGAATCATCAGTGGCTTCTTCAGGAAGCTGTAGTGAGAGCTTTTGATTGTACAGCATGCTGAAGACTAGAGCAGCACACAGCAAGTTTTTAAATGTCACTTCGAGCTCGATGCAGATTTATCTACCAAAAGATCTTCAGAAATTCTGGTTATGACTGCGTGAAAAGTCATCGTTTTTAGAAAGCAATGTTCAAGACTGGAGGCACTTGAGAAATAAAGGAATACTACATCAGATTAAGGCACCACAAACAACAGTTACAACGCATCTTTGGAACAACAAAATTGACACACTTCAGGTTTACACACATAATACATTTTAGTTTTAAATCTGTCTATGTTTTGGGCCGCATCACCTCCCTTTCAATTAATTGCCGTTTTAGACAATGAAATATTCTTTTGCATTTCGTGGTAAATTTTATAAAATACATAACATTATAATTGTTCTGGAAACAATATTGCACAGGTTACTGCTACGAAGGTGAGGAAGGGGATGCTTTCCACTTACATCTGTCTGTCTATCTATCACAAAGTTGGTGGATGGGGGGGAAACAAAACTCTCATTAAACCATTTAGATAAACTGGGAAAGTCTTTATATTTGTTTTAAAAAATGAACATTTAATGACATTTTAGCATTTTTTTTACTATAATAATATACTATGGGATTCTTAAACAATGGATGGTTGACAGTAAATGCAAGTAAAAAAAAAAAATCATATTTCAAGTATACACTGTTCTGTGTTACATCATGTAAAAGTACATTCAAATGCTTTTATGTTTCAATCAGACACAATCACACACAGCAGCTTTAAACACTGGGACATCCTTCAAATCAGCTCTTTATGACTGATAAACGCCACTTCTTTATACTACCAGACAAAGCCAGTCTGTACTAATTGTCGTTTGACATTGTCATGGATGGCATGCTGAGAATCAAGAGTAAATTTGACATGAACAGCCTCTGCTTCTCTCATGAATGATATAGTGAATTGTGCTGAAGCTAATACAGCTTCTGTGTTGTGATGTAGAGAAGATATTCTCTGTCACAGATTACAACAGAATGCATCGCCAAATGCGAATCTAATCTCTGTAATGTTGTTTCAATATTTTGGAAGGTTAATTAATGAGTTCCTGAGAACAGCACCTGAAATTAGCAGAGGTAATCAATAAGACTGGTGATAAACACAACAACTTACGCAATGAATGGTTGTGGATTGTCGCCTAGTTTGTGAACACTTTGACAGGGCAATTCCCACATTAACAATTAGTAACTACTCATTATGCCATAATAATCACTTGGTTAATTTTTAACAATGACTGAGCAATTGTGTGTCAAATCTCAACTAAGTAACTCGGCCACACACCCAGGCAGTTGTGGCTGTGATTAGATGACTGAACGCCACAGTCAACAGGCCAGGTCACAGAGAACAGGTTGTAAAAGTGGGAGGGGCTTTAGCTATGTGGGAGGAGCCCCTTCTTGTAGGCGACCACTCCTGCGGCTGTGGCCAGAGCCAGGAAGGAGGACACGCCCATAAACGTGAGAAACCCTCCAACGGATGGCAAGTTTCTTTCCCAGAATGTGGTGACAAACGGCCGGGCTGGGACATCCTGAGGAAAGGGTTTAGAGTATACTTGTTCAAGATCCCAAAGAGGTTTTTCTTTAAATTTATGGCATATATTTTCAAATTAATTAATATCTGTTTAACACAGCCATAATATGTTTGTATACATTTGGTCCAATATGTGCTGTAGAAAATGCTACATGGTTTAACAGAAATTCAATGAAAAAATTGTTAAATATAAATTTATGGCATATAGAAAATGTTTCTTAAAATTAAAAAAGTGAATTTCATACCAGTGATTCAGGCTCTGACTGCCAGATCTGACTCGCATGGAGTTTTCCCAGTGCACACAAAATCTGGGAGAATAAAGCATTTAGTATTTTGAGTTTTTCAGCAACGTTTACAATTAAGGCATTTAGGTTAGTACAATTTTTGTTGAAAGAATTTAACACTTTTATCGAGCAAGGTTGTAATAACAATAACATCTAGAACTAATAAAACAAGCCAACACAATATTTATGGAGAATAAAGCTTTGTTGATGAATGTGTAGAAAACAGTGGGATTCAATGTGGGATTCAAACTGAACATGCTCATGAAAGTCAATAAACTTGAGGATGTTGAAACGGGAAATTTGGGTTGAACAATTTAGATCTCAGTAACTAAACCCTAATGGCTAAGAACCCACCTCTCTAGTGGCTCTCTCGCCCGCCTGCACAGCCCCCTCCATGTAACCGCTCCACTCTGTGGACGTTTCAGTTCCTGCAAAGTACAGCCTGCCCACAGGCTCCCGCAGGACCCTGAAATGGAGAGAAACATCTTCTCATGTTGATTTTTTTTCTTTAGTCAGTCTAGTATAATGCGGTATCAGAGATGCTCCATCTGGAGGTACGGTACACTAACCTGCCATACTGTGTCATGATACCAGGGGGAAAGTAGGCGGTGTAGCAGCCACCAGAGTATTCCTCCTCACACCAGTTTTTCTCCTCATAGTGCACAGGCTGAGAAAGAAAGACCCCCATGAAAAGTAAGCATCAAAAAATGATGAGACTAAAGGATGATTTCTGGTCATGGAGACTCACATGTAGCGCTTCCTCTGAGCCGAGCACACGAGAATAAATCTCACAGATCCTTCTCTTTCTGAAATGTTTGACAACATTCTGGTAAGAATAATCATTTCAGCAAAGTATAGTGACATGAACTAATATGAAAACAGACATTTCTACCTCTCATCTTTCGTCAGGCCTGCTAGTTTCCTGGATTTTCGTGCCAGGATGAAACTGCAAAAGAGAAAAAACCAGCTTACGGTTCTGTCACCTCAGGCATCTCATTTATTTTGTGAGCAGTTTACGACTTTACGTTCATCCTACAGTAGAAAGCTCATCGCTTTATTTACCCCATTATAGCAGGCACAGACCCATCAGGCTTAGTGTCGTCAAGCGTGAGACCAATAGGCGCTTCCTCCTCCTCGATCACCATGCTGCCACAGTATCCTGAAAAATCAAAACAGCCATGTGTAGCCAGTGTTAATTTAGTATTATTTATATACGATTATATTTTGAATGAGCTTTTATTTTTATATTTTCAGTTTTCATTTGAATAATTATGTCCTTTTGTCTTTTTTTTACTTTTTCAATGTATCTTTCCTTTATACTTAAAGTTTTAGTAATTTTAGCACTTCAACTGTTATTTCAGTAGGTTGCCAAGTCAACGTTTTTCATCTAAAATTTATATATTTTATTTAGCTTTATTTCATTTAAAGAAAATTATTTTTCATAGTTTTAAGTTTTAAAACTGTGTGTAGCCACTTCAGTCCCACTCAGATTGTTTTAAGGGTGTGTTCACACTTGTCAGGTTTGGTTCGTTTAAAACCAACTCTGTTGCGATTGCTCTGTTAGTGCGGTTCATTTGATTAAGTGTGTACACTGCCATGCAAACCCTGGTGCGCACCAAACAAGCAAAACAAAACCCTAAAAAGGCTTCTAAACAAACTCTGGTGAGATTCGACAGAAATATAAATCACAACGCGGACCAAAGACATCTAAACGAACCAAAAACACCATAAAAAGTACAGAATGCTGGAGGACAGAAACGTCTCGGTTACGGATGTAACCCTCGTTCCCTGAGTAGGGAACGGAGACGTTCCGTCGGATGACGACGAATGGGGTTTCGCTTAGAAAGCCAATCGACTTCGAGTACTACAAAACGAGCCAATGGCAAAGAAATGCCATGGGTCTGCGGAATTTGCATAGCGTAACTCCGCCTCACCTCGTGGGTATTTAAGGAGAACGCTGGCAGCAAATAGGCATGTTTTCTTCGCTGAGGAGCCAAGACTGAGCTCAGGCGATCCCCGCGGTACAGCGGAAGTGGCAGGCAGACGGAACGTCTCCGTTCCCTACTCAGGGAACGAGGGTTACATCCGTAACCGAGACGGTCCCTTTCGTTGTCACTCCGAGTTCCGTCGGATGACGACGAATGGGGATACCAGTCTAATCACGCCACTTCTCAGCTGTCTTCCAGTGCCCTGCGTAAATCTGAGATCCCTGTCGTGAGACTAGCACGGACGAAGGACTCCTATTTAGCACAGGAATACCAAGGTACACTGGGGAGCATATCCCAGATTTTAGGGAAGTATGCAATTACTGCCAACCCAGAGGGGGGGGACTTAAGAATACACATATGACCCGAGGGATGCATATGGGGAATCACTGGGGTGTCCAGCCGCAGGTGGAATATTTCAACCCCAGGGGTGGCAAGGTGGCTTGCCGAGGGAAAGACACATGCTCAGAGAGGCTTACAGTGGAAATACACATGTGGGGGTAGCTCAGAGGAGGTACCATGCACACGGAAGGCACCTAGCCGACGCGCAGGCAATAGACACTGGCGCCAGCGTCAGCAGTGCTGGAGGAGCTCAGGGCTTTCGGGGAAGCTCACCTGAGGAGAAGATCGCACGTATCCAGTCCGAGGAGTGGCATGGCGAGCAAGCGAAGACACCTAACGGATCCCATGTTAGCTTGAAAAAGACAGTACACGGGAGGAGACTGGCTCCACTCGGAGATTGTAAAATCTGGCGAATGTGTTAGGTGTCGCCCAGCCTGCAGCTCTGCAGATGTCTGTTAGCGAGGCGCCATGCGCTAAAGCCCAAGAGGACGCGACACTCCGGATGGAGTGGGCGGTCACACCAAGGGGGCACGGTCGACCTTGCTGCTGGTATGCCAAAGCAATGGCGTCCACTATCCAGTGAGACAACCTTTGCTTGGAGAGAGCCTTTCCCTTCAGCTTCCCACCATAACAGACAAAGAGCTGGTCTGAGGTCCTGAAACACTGCGTTCTGCCTACATAGATGCGAAGAGCACGTACTGGACAGAGCAGTGCCAAGGCTGGGTCTGCCTCCTCCGGGGGCAGCGCTTGCAGGTTCACCACCTGGTCCCGGAAGGGAGCTGTAGGAACCTTGGGCACATATCCAGGCCGGGGTCTCAGGATCACGTGAGAGTCACCCGGCCCGAATTCCAAGCACGCTTCGTCAACGGAGAATGCGTGCAGGTCCCCTACCCTCTTGATGGAGGCCAATGCAGTCAGAAGCGCTGTCTTCATTGACAGGAAGTTAAGCTCGACTGACTGCAAAGGCTCAAAGGGAGCGCTGCGCAGGGCAGTTAAGACCACTGCGAGGTCCCAAGAGGGTACGAGAGGAGGGCGAGGAGGATTCAGTCTCCTTGCTCCCCTCAGGAACCTGATGATCAGGTCATGCTTCCCCACCGACTTACCTTCTATCGGGTCATGATGTGCGGCAATAGCGGCAACATAGACCTTGAGGGTGGAGGGAGACAGCCTTCGCTCCAACCCTTCTTGAAGAAAGGAAAGCAGGACACTGATCGAACATCTCCGGGGGTCTTCTCGGTGAGAAGAGCACCAGTTGACGAAGAGGTTCCACTTCAACGCATAGACGTGTCTCGTGGACGACGCTCTAGCGGAAGTGATGGTAGCCACCACCGCTGGTGGTAGGGTACTCAAACCTGCCTTGTCCCGTCCAGGAGCCACACGTGGAGGTTCCAAAGATCGGGACGAGGGTGCCACAGGGTGCCCCGTCCCTGAGAAAGGAGGTCCTTCCTCAGAGGAATCGGCCAAGGAGGTGATGTCGCGAGGAGTATGAGTTCGGAGAACCAGGTCCGGGTGGGCCAGTACGGCGCGACCAGAGTGACCTGCTCCTCGTCCTCCCTGACCTTGCGCAGGAATTGCGCAAGAAGGCTCACTGGGGGAAACGCATACTTGCGGCCCTGCGGCCAGCTGTGCGCCAGTGCATCTGTGCCGAGCGTGCCCTCGGTCAGGGAATAATACAGGGCGCAATGGGTCGAGTCGTGAGAGGCAAACAGATCTATCTGTGCGTCCCCGAACTGGTCCCAAATCAGCTGAACCGACTGGGGATGGAGTCGCCAATCTCCCGGGAGTGGCTGAAGCCGTGAGAGCTCGTCGGCTGCACAGTTCAGGGCTCCGGGGATATAAATGGCACGAAGCGACCTCAGATGCTTCTGACTCCATAAGAGGAGGTGGCGGGCGAGTTGCGACATACGGCGGGAGCGCAGACCACCTTGACGGTTGATGTACGCTACGGTCGCGGTATTGTCTGAACGGACTAGTACATGCTGGCCCCTGAGCACGGCTCGGAAGCGGCGCAAGGCGAGCTGTACAGCCAGCAACTCGAGGCAATTGACGTGCCATAGGCGGTGGGGTCCTGTCCAGGAGCCAGCGGCAGCACGTCCATTGCACATGGCACCCCAGCCCGTGGTAGAGGCATCTGTCGTTACGACAATATGCCGGGAAGCTCGTTCCAGGGGCTCTCCGGCCCGTAGAAAACTGAGGTTCGACCACGGGGTGAAGGTCTGACGGCAGGTCGGAGTAACTGGTACTCGGAGAGTGCCGTGTTGCCATGCCCACCTCGGGACTCGGTCGCGAAGCCAAAGCTGAAGCGGTCTCATATGAAGTAATCCGAGCGGTGTTGCCACGGCTGCGGATGCCATATGCCCCAGGAGCCTCTGAAAAAGTTTCAGTGGAACCGCACTCTTGCCCTCGAACTGTCTCAGGCAAGTCAGCAGTGACTGCGCGCGCTCGCTCGTAAGCTGCGCGGACATGGCGACCGAGTCGATCTCCATATCGAGAAAAGAGATCCTCTGCACGGGGCAAAGTTTGCTCTTCTCCCAGTTGACCCGAAGGCCCAGACGGGCTACATGGCGGAGCACCAAGTCCCTGTGTTCGCAAAGCTGATCTCGAGAGTGAGCTAGAATTAGCCAGTCGTCGAGGTAATTCAGAATGCGAACCCCGTGTTCCCGGGGAGACTCAGACCCACCTTGTGATTCCGCGATAGACATCGCGTCCTCCTCTGGAGCGCCAAAGGAAACCCGCGGGACACCCGAAGATGATCCCGCCGGAATCCCCCGAGCACTCACGGGTTGCAACACTGGAGAGGGTGCGGCTGGGCACGGACTGATAGTCGGCGCTTGGTTCCAAACCGTCACCCTCAGATCACCCTGGCCACCAGCCGAAGTACTAGCTCTATTTCTAGAGTCAGTAGATCGGGGTGTGGATGAGGGGGCTCTCACTCTTGCGAGATCACTGAGTCTTGATCGTAGTGCTGCGATGGTCATGTTCCCGCAGAGAGAACATGAGTCATCCACGAGCGCTGCTCTAGCGTGATCAATGCCCAAACACACTATGCAACGCTCGTGCCCATCAGAGTCGGCAACGAGTCTACCGCAACCAGAAGTGCACGGGCGAGGCATCTTTAAAAAGACGTGCCGCGTGCAAGCTCTTTTGTGAGAGGAAAGAAACTCTGACTGTGTTGAAGCGCCCGGGGAGAAACACACTCGCTGTCAAACCACAGACAGATAAGCAGGAAGTGCGCGCTCGCCGGAGATCGCCGTCACACCAACACCAGAGAATCTCGCTCGTCTTGAAGAACTGACAGTACAGGAATGGCTTGTGGAACGAAGGATCACCTTGGCTCCGAAGCGAAAACATGCCTATTTGCTGCCAGCGTTCTCCTTAAATACCCACGAGGTGAGGCGGAGTTACGCTATGCAAATTCCGCAGACCCATGGCATTTCTTTGCCATTGGCTCGTTTTGTAGTACTCGAAGTCGATTGGCTTTCTAAGCGAAACCCCATTCGTCGTCATCCGACGGAACTCGGAGTGACAACGAAAGGGAACTTGTTTTTTTCTCTTCATAGGAACTTTGTTGCCCATTACAGTTCAGTACAGGTGTCAGAAACGCCGTCTTCCTGCAGCAAATCTTCGTTTGTGTACAACGGAGGAATTCCTGCCGCTGTTTTGACTCCTTTACACATTTTAAAAACTCTTCACGATTTCTTAGCTGGTCAAAATACCATCATAGGTACACACATACAACGAGCGCATTTAGCCCAGAACACAGCATAGTTTTGGATGTTCGTGAAGTCTGTCGCAAAATACGTTTTTTTTTTAAAATTATCTTTAGGTTCCTTTAAAATGACAGTGTAAACACTAAGTGAACCAGGACTAAATGTATTATTTTCTTTTTTTGGTCCAGACCAAAAGAACCGAACTACAAGTGTGAACACACCCTTCAACTGCTTTTAAGTGATTTCATTTAATGGAAAATAGGCAAGAGGTACAGACCCTTCTGCCTCCAGAAATTCTCTTTGTAGTACACCATGCATTTGATGACTGAGCCCATAGGCACTCTATGAATGAGCTGGTTCCTCAGAGGGGGTAATTCAGGGTTGAAATGGATCTTCAAGTTCAGCCCAGGTGGTATGGCAAGTATGACATATTTGGCCTACAAGAACAGAGAAAGAAAGAAAAGCCATAAAAAACAACCTTTTTACAAATATAAGTGATTTCAGATAGTTTAGTGTTAAAAGGACTGTTGAAGTAATAGGTGGCAGGATCAAACCCCATAAATCATCAACAACGTACTTAAAGTCGGCATGAAATGGAAGTTGTGATTGTCTTTTTGTCCCCTATTGTAAGATATATCCAAGTGAAACGGCTTCTTGAACAAGAAAAAATTTAGGGCGGGACTTGATTTTGTCCATCCGGAATTGATTGGCTTGTTGTGATTGGATGATCTCATGTGAGTGACAGGCTGTCCCGCCCTCATGCCAGTAAACATGTCATCAGAGAAGAGAAGAGAAGAGAAAAGAAGAGACGTCATTACAAGATAGAGGGGAAGTTATTTTGATTAAATATTACAAGTGAAAATAAATAATAATAATAATAATGTGCACGAAAAATAAACACAGCAAAAAAATAAAAAATAAGAATGGTCCATTTTGATTTCATGGTGACTTTAAAGCTGCCGTAGGGACTTTGCCGTAGAGACTGCACATAAAATGTCCTTTCTATCTGAAAGCTTTCTCTGATATCACACCTGTCTTTGTGACTCTGTATATAACAAAAAGAGTTTTATTTTGCTTTAATGGTTCTCTTACGAGAGGTTCTCTCGTATTGCTTAAGCTAGCTTACGCTGCGGGAAAGATTCATCTTTGCTGAGATATTGAAGCCAAAAAATTATTTCATAATTTGTATCCATTGACAACGCAGTTCCTCTGCGGCAGACCTAGAGCAGGCTAGCTAGCAGCTCATTGGTTCGCTCAGAGAGAACTGCTTAAGCCTATGGGAGAGCGGGGCTGAACCCGCTTCCAATGAGAGGCGCCCGCGCGCTCATTGCGTCATGGCCCGCCAGAATGGGCGTGGCTATGGTGTATATAACAGTCTCTCCCAGGCTTATATGTTGATTCATTTCATCTTCAGCGAGCTACACGCTTCTGCTGTCCTGAGAAAAGCCGCCGTCGTGGAAAAAGGCACCTTCTAGCGAGCATCTGGGAGTCTGAGGAAGCCGGCCGTCTTCGCCACCTGATTTTGGCCCAATCACGGACGGAGCTTCTGTCGCACTGCGCAGTTCTCCTCGACCATCTGAAAACGCTGGGCCTCTCTGTCAACTGGACAAAGAGCTCCCTTCAACCCAGTCAATCGATTTCCTTTCTAGGAATAGATTTGAACTCGGTCACGATGACGGCTCGCCTGTCTACACAGCGCGCGCGCAGTGTACAGCGACTGGCCGCCTCGTTTCAGATGGGCACCCGCTCACCTCTGAAAACTTTTCAGAGGATGCTGGGTTACATGGCCTCAGCCTCCGCTGTGCTTCAGCTGGGCCTTCTGCACATGCGTCCGCTTCAGCTTTGGTTAAACAGCCGTGTACCCCACCGCGCGTGGAACACGGGCCGCCAGCTGATCAGAGTTACGCAGACATGTCTCACGGCGCTGCAGCCATGGACAGTAGCAGAATGGTTTCGACAGGGCGTCACGATGGGGACCTTTTCTCGCCGAAAAGTCATCTCGACAGATGCATCCAACACGGGTTGGGGTGCAGTCTGCGAGGGCTCACCGGCCTTCGGCCATTGGTCGACACAGGAAAGCCCCTTACACATAAACTGTCTGGAAATGCTTGCGGTCGAGAACGCGCTTTCGCGCTTCCTCTCGCTCATTCGGGGACACCACGTCCTGATCCGTTCGGACAACATGGCTGTGGTCTCCTATCTCAACCGTCAGGGCGGTGTCAGGTCCAGGAATCTCTTCCTACTGACACACCGCATTTTAGTTTGGTCTCAGAGCCGCCTGCTCTCGCTCAGAGCGACGCATGTGCCGGGCCATCTGAACGACGGTCCAGACATACTGTCCAGGAACCTCATCTCCTCAGGAGAATGGTCCCTGAACACACAAACGGTCCAAATACTGTGGCGGCTATTCGGCAGAGCAGAGGTGGACCTCTTCGCGTCAGAAGAGAACGCTCACTGCCCAATATTTTTCTCAAGGAGCGAGGACGCGCTAGCCCAGGAATGGCCTCGCCGCCCGCTCTATGCATTCCCTCCGATCGCTCTGCTACCACAGGTAATTCAGAGGATCAGGGACACACGCCACTCGGTGCTCCTCATAGCCCCGCGTTGGGAGAGTCAGAATTGGGTTCCGGAGCTCACTCAGCTGTCGCAGACAGCCCCGTGGCCCATCCCAGTCAGAGCAGATCTCCTCTCTCAGGCTCGCGGCACGATCTGGCACCCCCATCCACGGCGCTGGGCGCTACATGCATGGGTGATCAACGACTATTCGTTGATTTGCCAGAAGGAGTAAGAAACACTATCATACAGGCTAGAGCACCTTCCACGAGAAGGCTCTATGCGTCTAAATGGTCTGTGTTCTCAAAATGGTGCACCGACAAACATCTGGACCCACGGTCATGCGAGGTGCCGTCTTTGCTTGTTTTCCTTCAAGAGATGCTGGACAAGGGCAGGTCCCCCTCCACTCTCAAGGTTTACGTGGCAGCCGTCGCGGCGTTCTCTGAACCCCGACGCGCTCAGTCCCTGGGCAAAGACGAGTTAGTCATCCGCTTCCTCAGGGGAGCTAAGAGGATGAACCCTCCGCGCCCCCCTTCGGTTCCTATCTGGGATCTTTCTATAGTTCTCGAAGCTATGAAAGCACCCCCGTTCGAACCGCTCGAGTCTGTGGACCTAAAATACCTCTCGCTCAAAACCTTTTTTCTGACGGCTCTGTCCTCAGTAAAACGCGTGGGGGATCTTCACGCGCTCTCATCCAGCGCCGCGTGTCTCGAGTTTGGTCCGAATGATTCTGTTGTCATTCTCAAACCTAGACATGGCTATGTCCCGAAGGCGATTGGTACCCCGTTCAGGGCTCAGATTATTTCCCTATCGGCTCTGCCTTCATCCGATAGTGAGCGCGACGCCAATCTCCTCTGCCCGGTGCGGGCTCTGAGATTGTACACTACGCGCGCTGCCGCGTTCAGACGCGCTGAGCAGCTTTTCGTGTCGTTTGGGGGGCGCACCAAAGGTCTGGCCGCCTCTAAACAGACACTGTCTAGATGGATAGTAGACGCTATCGCCTCTGCTTACGCATCTAAATGCCTGCCCTGCCCTCTGGGCATCAGGACGCACTCCACTAGAGGCATGGCCTCATCGTGGGCATGGTCCTGTGGAATTTCCATTCATGACATTTGTGTGGCCGCGGGATGGGCCTCCCCGTCCACTTTTGTCAGATTTTACAACTTGGAAGTTCCCGCCTTGCAGGCAAAATTACTAGCTGTCTAAACGACCAGCTCCCTAAGAAGCTGCATTACTGGGAGTCCCTCACACAACCGGTTCGCCCCTTGTGCTCTCCTTAAATGCTTATACACTTCATGTGCCCGCTCTGCCGGCCTCATACATGCTTATGTATACACTTCATGTGCCCGCTCTGCCGGCCTCATAATACATTCACTCCACGTTAAAAATCCCCCGGTATCACCCTGGGATTCATGAGTGGATTCATAGCGCGCACGGCGTTGACCAGGTGTTCCCGCAGCGTAAGCTAGCTTACGCAATACGAGAGAACCTCTCGTAAGAGAACGAATCGGTTACCTAACGTAACCTCGGTTCTCTCTAGAAGAGGGAACGAGTATTGCGTTCCCGGCCGTGCTTGCGCTACTAGCGTTTCGCTTCACGCTGAAATAAATCAACATATAAGCCTGGGAGAGACTGTTATATACACCATAGCCACGCCCATTCTGGCGGGCCATGACGCAATGAGCGCGCGGGCGCCTCTCATTGGAAGCGGGTTCAGCCCCGCTCTCCCATAGGCTTAAGCAGTTCTCTCTGAGCGAACCAATGAGCTGCTAGCTAGCCTGCTCTAGGTCTGCCGCAGAGGAACTGCGTTGTCAATGGATACAAATTATGAAATAATTTTTTGGCTTCAATATCTCAGCAAAGATGAATCTTTCCCGCAGCGTAAGCTAGCTTACGCAATACTCGTTCCCTCTTCTAGAGAGAACCGAGGTTACGTTAGGTAACCGATTCGATTTACAGTCTCAAAACCTAAAAAAAAAGGTAAAATTTTTAATTAATAATTTCACAACAAATTTGCTGAAAATTCAGCCTTGCCATCACAGTAATAAATGGCATATTAAAATATATTAAATGGAAACCAGTTATTTTAAAATTGTAATAATATTACACAATATCACTGATTTTACTGTGTTTTTGACCAGATTAATGCAGACTAGGGGCCGGTTTCACAAAGATAGACTTTGACTATGGCTTAGATATAGTAGATAGTCAGACTTCAGATAGACATCTAAGTCAGACCGTTGCAAAAAGCACTTAAGACTCTGACTATCTTAAGTAGGACTACACTGCAATGCATTCTGGGTAAAATAAGACACTTTTCAAAACAAAAACATGGCGGATCGAGTAAGCGCATTCAACCGCTCAGTGCAGTTTACCCCAGCGGAAGATATGTGTTTGTTGGAGGAGTATAACAGTCACAAGGACATTTTACTTGGGAAATTTAGCGGAGAATGTAGTAACAAGAAGAAATGTTTAATTTGAAAAGGGCCATTTTCCCTTTTCTTTCGGCTGTTTGTAATGTAACTGATTGTTACTGCTGGATGCCAAGGTAACAGAGTCTTAGACCTAAGTTAGCCTGGGGGAAGCTGTCTAATTTTTTTGGTCTAAATTAAGTCAGTCTTTATTTTTGTGAAACAGTCTAACTTGCATTAGACTAGTCTATGAGCAAATTTTAGACTTGTCTAACACTATAGACCTTATGCACCAGAGAAACGAGGGCGCCGCCATCTTTAGAATATTGTCTTTGAACTTCCGTTTTTGCGGTTGCTCTGTATATTTCTATGGCATCGCTGTCCAGGAGTAATTAGCTGGTGAAGTTGATTTACCGGTACTTATTGTAGAGTTAACGAAAGTTATCATGAGCATTGTAATGTTTATGATAAGCATTGTAAAGCATATCTTAACAAATGGACCTTGGGAATTTTTTTTTAATGAGCCGTTCATTCATAACTAGGCAAGATCGCTGTGAAAATACAGACCGGAAGTCAAAAGACAATGAGCTCAGCGCGGAAAAGGGGCGTGGCTACATAAGGTCTATAGACCGGTCTAAAATAGCTTTGTGAAACTGGCCCTTGGTGAGCATAAAATACTTTTTTTTACATTAAAAAAACCTTATCCACCCCAACATTTTGAACTGTAGTGTATAAGTTTTAGATATATGGATATATTGTTGAATATAGTCGTTCCAGTGTCCCCCCACTGTTCCTCCCCAGAAGGTTAAGCAGCTCTACAGCAGCCTTTAATAAGCTTTCAGCTCAGGAAAGAGGATGTGGCCAGGACAGGGGGATGAAGAGCAGCTTACTGATAACAATCCACCAAGCTTACACACATGGTGATACATACTTCAAAGTGGGACATTTGTCCTTCAAATTAGCCGATTTAGCTAATTTGAGATGTAAGATACTGCCTACTCAGAAGGAACTTCATCACTGGTTACTGACCTCATAGACTAACATACTACACTACTACCATTTCTGCAGTATCATGTATATTGTGTGTATTATACAAATTTTGTATACATGCACAAAATAAGGGGTGACGCACTACTTATTTGGAATACTGTATACCACAATGCAATGTAATTGAGTTGATCTTCCATTTCCATGTAACAAATTTGATCGCATAGCAAAAGTTAAGACAATAAAATGTTGTATGCACAGTCTGGGGTCTGTAAGATTTTTTTATTTTTTTTAATGTGCTTGTCAATGCTGCATTTATTTGACACAGTAAAAACAGTAATATTGTAAAATTGTATTACAATTTAAAATAACTTTTTACTATTTTAATATATTTTAAAGGGATAGTTCACCCAAAAGTTAATGACTCACCCTCATGCTGTTCCAAAACCCGTAAGACTTTCGTTCATCTTCGGAAGACAAATAAAGATCTTTTTGATGAAATCTGAGAGATTTCTATCCCTCCATTGACAGCTACGTAACTGACACTTTGACGCTTCAAAAAGTTCATAAAGAAATCGTAAAACGAATCCATTTGAATTAAGCTGTTTAGTCCAAATTTTACGATCGCTTTATATCATGAACAGATTGAATTTAGGCTTTTATTCACATTGATGCACGAGAACAAAACTCTTGCTCTCGCTCAAACATGCAAACATGCAAACATGCTTACTCTCGCTCAAACATGCTACGCAACACACGAGACTGAAGCTCATTGGTTCCTGCAGAAGCTCAAACGTGATGCGTAACACACGAGAATGAACCTTATTGGTTCTCGCACGTCAAGCAAACATGCTTGAGCTTCCGTTTACCACAACTGATGTGTGCGTTGATGAATGTTTATATGTGAATAAAAGCGTAAATTCAATCTATTCATTATATAAAGCGATCGTGTATCTTCAGAACATTTGGGACTAAACCACTCAATTCATATGGATTCGTTTTACGTTCTCTTTAAGAACTTTTTAAAGCATCGAAGTTTCAGTTGAGTAGCTGTCAATGGAGGGACAGAAAGCACAGATTTCATCAAAAAATATCTTAATTTGTGTTCCGAAGATGAACGAAAGTATTAAGGGTTTGGAACGACATGAGGGTGAGTAATTAAAGGGGTAGTTCACCCAAAAATGAAAATTAGCCTGAAGCCATCCTAGCTGTATATGACATTCTTCTTTCAGACGAATACAATCAGAGTTATATTAAAAAATGTCCTGGCTCTTCCAAGCTTTATAATGGCAGTGAATGGCTGGATGCTTTGGAAATCCATCAAAGCGCATCTATTCATGATAAAAGTGCCCCAAGCGTGCGTCTCAGTGGGTTAATAAAGGCCTTCTAAAGTGAAGCGATGCGTTCGTGTAAGAAAAATATCCATATTTAAAACTTTATCAACTAAAATAACTAGCTTCCGGCAGACGGCCGTACGCATCGATTTACGCCAAAAGAGTAACACTTGAACCTGACACACAACGTAATGACGGCAATTGATGCCTCTCGCGGTTCAAACTAACAGGGCTGGGCAACCGCGTTTGTCATTACGTTGTGCGTCAAGTGTTACTCTTTTGGCGTAAATCGCTGCGTACGGCCGTCTGCCGTAACATTTTTTAATATAACTCCGATTGTATTCGTCTGAAAGAAGAATGTCATATATACCTAGGATGGCTTCAGGGTGAGTAAATCATGGGGTAATTTTCATTTTTGGGTGAACTATCCCTTTACTGACAGAATTTTCTTTAAAATGTAATTTATTCCTATGATGGCAAAGCTGAACTTCCAACATCATGACTCCAGTCTTCAGTGTAACATGATCCTTCAGAAATCATTCAGATTTTCTGCTCAATAAACATTTCTTATTTTTTATAGATGATGAAAATGTTTGTGCTGCTTAATTTTTTTGTGGAATATTATTGTTTTAATATATTATAATATAATATATATATAATATATTTTTGATCAATTTATTGCGTCTTTGCTGAATAAAAGTATTAAAGACATAATTAGAGTCAAACTAGTATGTTTCCACCTCGCAGAAGGCCCAAGAGATCTGACTACAAATGCAAAAGCATGTTTACTGTCATATATTTATTCAATACAAATAAATTACTTGTGTGTGTGTGTGTGTGTGTGTTTCCTAGACAACAACTGGACATGTGCTATTGTTTGAAAGTTTGCATGATGCATTCTTTCACATAGCTTGTTTTAATTAGTAGTCATTATATACTGTGTAGTTTGCAGTAAGCATTATGCTAGTAGTCCATTCCAAATGCACCTTCTCACCTTGTATATCTCGTCATTAACTGTCCTGACCTCCACCAGGTCTCCAGTCTGGTCAATGCTGTAGACAGCTCTGCTCAGCTTCACACGGTCACCCAGCTCTCTCGCCATCGCCTCACTGATTTGATTGGCACCTCCGGCAAACTTGCGTTCCTGTCATATGGGGCAGCAGAAAGTAGTTTTCCAGACTTAGCAAAAATAGCTTACACATGCATCATACTAAATTGTCCATGCACTTTAGTTAGATATTGTAAGTAATGGGTATGATCAGTTTAATAGTCATACATAAAAATGGAATGCAACTCTTTAATCCACCAACAGGTGTCTCTGTGTCTCAGAGATAGAATGATGACAGAGTTGTATAATACTGTCCACCATGCAGATACCTTATCAGACACATTCAGAATATAAAACAGGTTATAGAACAGGAACAGGCAAATCATAACAGTTCATTGACAATGCCATCACATAGGAAGTCTTTAATAAAAGAAGGGACAGTTTGTTATTAACTTAAAGAAAACTGTCCTTTGGTTTATTTGTGTACCATCAAATGACACATTTGCTAGGAGGCTCCTGCTATATATGACCCAGATACAGTGGCCACTATTTCGGTATGTTACATAATCAGTTCTGTGTCCGGAATGAATGGGGACGGCACAAGGTAGTCTCTCTTGAAAAGTATAAACTATAATCAACTTACTTAATGAATAAAATTCATCTTCATAGATTAAACAAATTGAATACCTAACCTGTATGAGGACAGTGGCTTGACTGGAAAAATGATTGACAGAAAATTGTTTACACTTTTTTTGGTAACTGGTTCTTTAATATTGGATCTACAAACAGACCAATTTTAGACAAAGCCCAAAATGCAAATGAAAACGATAATAAATCAATTCAATTATACATATTTTAGGAATACTACTATTTAAATGAAGTATATTTACTCATATATATATATATAAATATATATATATATATATATTATGATTATTATTAATACAATTAATAATAATAACAATAATAATAAATTACTATAAAATAAAAATAATGACAAAAAATAAAAATGGTTAGGAATATCAGTTATTGAATATTTAAACACAAATATTTGTAACGGTCATAAAGAAATATTGGATGCTCTCTAGTGGTCTAGATAGAAAAATTAGAAGAAATATGAGAACTAATTGCAACTAACCACTGACGTCTAACCTGGCATTATGCCTCATTTAAATATATTTGAATATGCATTGTGAACTAGCCCTTTAACCCAATGTACCTCTTTCCTCTGTACTCATGTCAGCAAATTATTTCTCTTTCTTCCACAGAAAGTCAGTTTTTTGCCTTCCCAACTAGACCCATTTTGAGAGCTGTGGTTAGCTAAATTAGGGGTAAAGACTGAACGGTGGCAGTGACTATTGGACTTGGCAAGAACATCGGATTGAACAGCTACTGCTTGATTTATATCACTATTTCTAACACCTGCAGTGCTTTCCTGAACTGCCAATATTTCTAAAAGACAATGTGAGGACGTTAAAGCCCCCATCTCTCATTTGCTTGCCCTGTCTTTCTCCCGCTCTCCCACAGATGGTAATTATACTGGTGCAGTGAAAAAGCCAAAGAGATGCACAAAAACATGCTGTGCAAACGTAGATGTCATGGAGTTCATATGTTTGCCGTATAATTAACTCTGCTCTTTAACAGAGAATTAACCAACCGAGATAACATAGTATTCAAACATTACACAACACACTCTAAAAAATAATGTGTTGGCTCACCAACAACCAAATTAACAACAGTTTGCATCAATTATTTTGGGTTATGATAACTGAGTGAATTTACATTCAACCAACAAGCTACATTGAGTTTGAGGAACTTAATTTGTAGCATAAACACAATTTTTTTTTAAAGTTGATTACTCAAAAAAATGATGTCGCTCCAACTACCATAGTTGTAGCCCTGGAACCAATTAACCTTATCTATTTCAGTTCAAATCAACAGCTATCATAGCACATGCTAACATAACCTATTTAACATGTATTTTTAATGAACAAGTAAGATATTACTTGTCACTGGCATTAGCGCAGTCATTGCTTATAGAGCCAATGTAGTCTTTATCTTCGCATCATCTACTCTTCAGCACAATGGTAAACATAAAATCGTCAACATTACAGAACCTCTTTTAAATGTCAAACATAACAGCATTAAACACTAACAGGTCTTTCCCTTCACTTAAATCAAATAAATTAACACTTAATTTCAACATTTATTCTCCTTATCCAGTCCTAAGCAAAGCATGCTTGGAACTAGAAATCCACTGCCGAATTTCCAAAGTTATCAAGACAATTTCATTTAAGTTACTACAACCTAATTTAAAAAAAAGTCAATTAACGCAAAAAAATTTGTTTAAATTACAGACGATATCAAGTTGATGTAATAATCAACATTATTATGTCAACAGAACTCTACAAAATAATGTTTGCAACTTAAAAGGTTTCATTAAAACAATAAATTAGAATTTTTAACTTGCAACCATGCATTTATTTACGTTGTGGTAACATGTCCCCTGAATTACTTTTTAGAGTGAGGCCTACAGCTTTAATGAGCTAAACATGTAGTTTGAAGACTTACCTGGCCTCCATTGGTGGTAGAGAAGATTCTCATTGTGCCTCCACACTGCTTGACGTACCAAAGGAACCACAGAGCAGACACCTCATGGGGCTCGGAGGTCACGTTCACATTGACAAACAGAGTGGCAAAGCGGCGAGCGGCACTGCAAGCAAAAAGTTGGTAAAGGGATATGCCATCAATAGCCAATATGCAAAAACAATAACCTGATATTAATTGGTCCCTTCTCTGTACCTGGTCCAGCAAATTTTGTCAAAGAGTTGCTGCATGGTCATCTTGTCCCACTCTTCAGCATGAGGGGCCCTCCATGGAGCTTCTTTAGGAATCTAAAGTGCACACTTGCTGTCAGGCACTCATATGATGGATGGATGTACTTTTTTGGGCTTCAAAGTCTAGGGTTCCAATTACTCCCATTAAAAAGCTTGGAAGAGCCGGATATTTTTTAATATAACTCTGATTGTGTTTGGCTGATAGAAAAAGTCATATACACCTAGGATGGCTTGAGAGCGAGTAAATTATGGGATCATTTTCATTTTTGGATGAATTAACCCTTTAACAATACCATTAACGATACTTCTAGCATTTATATGTAAAAAAATATATTTTTGTTAAAAAAAATGCAGTTCCATTGCTAAATGATGAGATATTTTAATAAAATATGCATTTAAAACACTTCTTAGGAAAAGTGTGTTCACATTTATTTTTGTCATAGTCTGTTTAGATGAGACAACTCCTTTAACAATGTATTAAACAATACTAAACAAAACGTGGTAGCATATAGTTTATTCATAATTTATAAAATACTACTGAAAATGCATATTTGTATGACTGCCTCAAGAGCAAGATATCAAGAAATAGTTTCACATCACACACCGTATACAAATGCCTGTTCAATTTCTGACTTGCTTCACATGCTTGAGTCGGCTGACAGCAGGACAAATAGAAGAGTAAAGGAATATTCTTTTTATCGCGTCCTGTTTAAACAGCTCATTTGCGTCTCTGTACAAACTTCAGATCCAGCATCAGGTGCAAGTGGATGGCTTATTTATTTTAATGCCGCCCCGTAATGCGTCGGATGATTATATGTTTGTTAGGAGCATTTGACTGCAGATTGTCGCCGCGTTTCATTCACTAAAAAGAACCTTACACAGTGTATGTGTAAGTACTGACACATTAGAGCCATTCATTCGGGAATCAAACTACACTGGTCGTATTCTGTTCTGTGATGTTGATTCAGTAGCGGTGTTGTGGCGCCGTTCAATAAGTATCGTTGGTATATGGGAGAACACTTAATAGAACTGTTTTTTTGGAAACAAATGGAGCCGGTTATGAACAAAAATGGCCTTTACCTCCATCCCCATCTTGTCCATTGTCCTCCAGAGATTGTTGTAGTCCATGTAGGCAAGAGGGTTCCACAATGGAGGGAAAGGCCCTTTGAATGGATATGACTTCCCCTGGGAAACAAGAAACAACGTCTATTAAAAACCTACTACCCTATCACCAAATAATGAAAATTGTAATTATTATTTTGTCATTGTTGACGTAATGTCTTTATCATAGCCATCATGACCTCATTATCATTAGAAGTATAACCAGTCTGGAATGGAAAACGGTCTTCGCTGCCTAAAATATACGTAACTGCATCTCGCCTGGCTTGGAATCTAATCAGTTAATGGAGGGGCTCTGTTCACAGCCTTTACAGTTTGCGTTAATACAACCAGAAGATCAGAAACAGCGTGACCTTATCAAGTCTCAGTACGATTTTATGATTTTCACATAAAAATGTGACAATCTTCTTTATTAAGTGCAGGAAAAAGAGATATGCTCATTTAGAGGGTTGGGGTGGAACATACAATAATGAAAAAGTACCCATAAATAACGCTAATACAATAAAAAGAAATTCATAATGACAGATAATGACAATGTTAGTCTTTGGCAAACAGCAGCTATATGACACAAGCTGTTCACACATCGCCTGCTTCCCACAGTAGTGGAAACGCTTAGTCAGTATGATCATTCTCTGTGGCTGGCCAATAGGGTAACTATATGCAGACATTACTTCATACCTGGATTGCTCTGTTGCTGTGGGGCTCTTAAATGAGCACTGTTGGGCTGATTGATTAATGTTTGACTACACATCAAAGACGAAGCGCTGCGTTTCAATATGTTCTTCAACATAAAGTTACTATCAGGGACTTAATGTTCATTATGGGTTTAGTCATCATTAAAGAAGGATCTAGAGTGACAGTCAAAAAAATGTACTAAAGGTTACTGCAACATTGAATGAGGCAACCTAGTCAAAACTGCTGACACAATCAAAGACCTGTCACCTAGAAGGATTCTCACGCACCCCTGGGTTTGATGTCCAGCGTTCACTTCCAGGCAATTTGTTGTGTGTCATAATGATTTGTGCATTTTCAGCGCACCGTCATTTAATTGCTAAAACCCTGTCATTTTATTGCTTGCAGAAAACATCTGAGGGGAACCAGCGTGGTTTTTGAGTAGGACTAGAATGCACTTAGTAGGACAGTTAAATGGTTGAACACTTCAAATGGCAAACCACGCAAAACACTTGTCAGCAACAAAGGAATGCCATGCTCCTATTGTTTTGTATATAAAAGTGATAGATATAAAGCCCCCTTGACAATTTTGTAATCTATAATTATCCATGCTTAATTATACATTTACATTTATGTATTTGCCAGACAAAAGTGTCTTCCATTGCATTCAGTTTATACATTCCCTTGGATTCAAACCCATGACTTTTGAGTTGTTAGCATCATGCTCTGCTGTTTGAGGTACAGGAATGATCAAATATATATTTTTTCAATTTAAAATACACTTAAAAATCTGAGGGGGCACATGCATGACGCTTCTACAGCAGTGCCAGTTGAACCCATTCATAAATGGTCTATGTGGCCTGAGGCTGGGTTTAAAAAAAAAAAAAAAAAGCATATGCATAATGCTCTTTTATAATTTATGATCTTTTAACATGACTCAGCCATTTGCATTTCTGAGCCAACTAGCACCACAGGGAAATATGTTCAGCTAAATAAGGGACCATGACATTTCCATATGATTTGTGAGGCTGCCAGACCAATACAGGGGAGGACACTAGATCACTCAGCATCCAGCAACAGGTCTGTTCCCATAGCGACGGAATTGAGGTGGAGAGATGGAGTGCATTTTTTATGATATCCTTTCAGCCAGAGCAGAACCTAAGCCTCTCTACTATCACTAACCTCATACTGCTCTATAGCCGCCCACCACGTCAGTCTCAGTTACTAGCAATGAGATATGAGACCACATCCTGTCCAACGCAAAATGTATGATCCTCTGAAGTAACATTCTATTTGCCTGTATGTTACAGTACAGACATTTTTACAGAAATCTTGTTTTTTTCAGAGATAAACAGTTGTTATAAGCAGATGTGCACAATGTTTGGGATTTTTTGCAATGATATTGGCCATGATATGGATAAGCTGATAATTATTGTCATTTCATGGCCGATATTAAAATCATACGCTATTTTTATCTAAATTAATTAATTAAAAAACACTAAAAATCTATCCTTTAAAATGCTACATGTGAATTTAAGCATCACAACATTTTAATGTACAGTACGAAAAAATATTGACTTTGAGATTTACTAAAGATTATTAGTGTTTTAAAGATTAACTAAAGATTATTAGTGTTTTAAAGATTAACTAAGTCACCGTTAAGTGACGGCAAAACTAATGTAAATGTAAATATAGGGAAAATGAGCATAAACAAATAAATATCCAATATATGTCTACTTCAACCAACAATATAAAAAACATTAATATCAATAACCGATTTATACCGATATATTCTCCATTCCTAGGACACAGCAATTATTTTTGCAAGACCAAGAAATTTGCTAAATGTGGAATTAAAAACCTGTAGGTAAAACTTGAGGCATATTACATGTCACTATAATTGATTGCAATAGTAACAATATCATTATGTAATTCCAAGTAGTTCCCAAATTTTAATACACAAGTATATGTGGTTTTATTAGTATTGCAAATGTAATGCACAGTAATGCAAACACTGTAAATTACACTAGTATTCATTTTTTAACAACACTGCCTTTGCACAACTGTTCAATCATAATCAAATTATTAATATGCTAATGCTGCCTGTAAGTGCAGTTGTATGCGAGTGGCTCACGGACCGAGGCAGAGGAAACTGGGTCTGGCCTTTAGGATTACAGCTATAGAAAAGCTGATTACACAGGCGCCTTGGCTGTACGCTCACCTTAATTATAAAATGTTTGCTCGTTGTAAGGCCCTTATTGGCTAATACAGGCTCAAGGCCAATACATGATTGCTGAGTAACAGGTGATACTATAAAAGCGGTAGTAAAACTTTCAGCAAATCGTGCAGACGCAAATGTGCCTGACTACGTGAGGGGCTGATAAAACTATGAGCCTCTTTCATAATACAGGTCAGCCAAAGAAAAGGGGCTTTTGATAAACATCCTGGATGAACTCAAACGGTGAATTGCTTCACTGTAGTTAAAGTCAACAAAGTCAAGATAGTAATTAATGTGTTAGCGATTAAGGTTCAGTCACATTAGCAAAATGACTGTAGTTTCAGCAAAATTTCGCAGGCAAAAAAGCTCCACTGTCTATTGTCAATAGTGTAGCAATGTATGAAGGATCACATCACATGAACAAACAGGAAAACAGGTCTCATTGCTTGTTGGAGAAAATGTTAACGACAGTACGAACTGACAGCCTTATATGGGCTTTTAAAGGAATAGTTCACATCAAAATGAAAATTCTCTCATCATTTACTCACCCTCAAGTTGTTTCAAACCTGTACGAATTTCTTTCTTCTGTTGAACACAAAAGAAGATATTTTGAAGAATGTTGGTAACCAAACAGTTGATGGACCCCATTGACTTCCATAGTAGTAGGGGAAAAAATACAATGGAAGTCAATGGAGCCCATAAACTGTTTGGTTACCAACATTCTTCAAAATATCTTCTTTTGTGTTCAGCAGAAGAAAGAAACTCATACACTTTGGAATAACTTGAGGTTGAGTAAATGTTGAGAGAATTTTAATTTTGAAGTGAACTATTCCTTTAAGGTAATCAGCTAACCTAGCTAGTTCTTTTTTTTTGTTGCCGTTTTATTTGATTTAAATATCTAAATGTTAGTGAGAAGAAGAAAAAAAAATATTTTTAGATATCAATCTATATATGCGTTGGACATCGTTTAACCTCATCTTTGCTCCCTCCTTTGAACGTATCTTGAGTAAAACGGCTCTATATTTAAAGCACATACAAAAAAAACTGAACCGGTAGCAATACGACAAATTTTACAGAATACGGAAGTTTGTTGCACATAACTTCTTAATCTGTAGCAAACCTTGCATGGGGAAATTTTTCGCCCAAAAAGCAAAATTCCTGATCTTATGGATTCCTATTAAAATGACTGGATTTTGATTGCAAAAATTCACCAGACAACAGCAAATGTGAATGCAACTTAAGCTAGAAAATCGACACTGGTTTACGAATTAGTGGCCACCAGCAAAAACCCTCTCTGAGGAGGAATTTGCTTATATCTCGACAGTAAAAACCTTTGTGTCTCTGTGGGATGAAATGAGAGGGAAACGCCCCTGATCCCAAAGACAGAGCCAGACATCAGGGTGTGAGAAAACGTGAGAGAGAGAAAGAGTGTATCCCCTCAATCCTGATAGCGATTGTCTTTTGATGAGGAGTGCTGCCATGGTAACCCACAGGGATGCTCCGATCAGGAGATAATGGCATGAGGAGAGAGGGGAAGGCTCCTTCAGTACATACACTAACACAAACACACACATCATTAATCATTAGGACAGATATGTTCACATTCATTCTATTTAAATCAAAACACATACAAAAAAGCAGCCTGTAGCAAGACAGACCATAACGATATTGGTTGAAATGTAGCACAGCTCTGAGCCTCTCCTTTATTTTCATGTAGTATCATGGTGCCTCTGAGATGCTGATGCATTCTTTACAAATGAAGCCTTGAAATCAATCATATACGTCTACATGTGTTCATGGTCTCTTCTTGGTGTCTTTTTCTGCTCATTCTTTTTGCATTAGTGCCTTGGGTAAATTATTCAGTCAAAACCTGTTAAAGGGTTAGTTCACCCAAAAATTAAAATTCTGTCAGTAATTACTCACCTCATGTTGTTCCAACCCCGTAAGACTTTCGTTTATCTTCGGAACACAAATTAAGATATTTTTGATGAAATCTGAGAGCTGGCTTACTTCTTCATAGACTTCTATGTAATTGCATTCTGCCGGCCCAGAGAAGTTAGTAAAAACATTGTTAAAATAGTCCAAGTGACTACAGTGGCTCAACCTTAAGTTTATCAAGCGACGAGAATGCTTTTTGTGTGCAAACCCCCCCAAAAATAACGACTTTATTCAACTATTCATTTTCTTCTGTGTGGGCCTCTGACGTGAGTTCACGAAGGCGCCACGATGCATGCGCGAGAACTGAGAAGATGATGCTCACGATCATTTGATGGGAAAGTGTGAAAGGTAAGCCATTCATTTTGCGGCATTGGTAAGGCACTTTTACGTTTTCTCGTTGGTTTCTCACGATTCGGTCCGAAGATGAACGAAAGTCTTACAGGGTTGGAACAACATGAGGGTGAGTAATTACTGACAGAATTTACATTTTTGGGCGAACTAACACTTTAAGGAACACCTGGCTTGACATTGACCATGATTGCGCTGTCAAACCGCACAAACCAAGGAACACCAACCAAGGATCATTTTCAATATTTACTCACCCATGTTCTTTTGTGGAGCACAAAAAGGTGAATTTCTGAAACATACACTACAGTTCAAAAGTTTGGGCTTAGTAATAATTAAAAATAATAATTATATTTTTATTCAGCAAGGTTGCATTTAATTGATCAAAAGTTACAGAACGTACATTTATAATGTTACAAAGAACTTTCATTTTTTAAAATGCTGTTGTTTTGTATTATCTGTTTACAAAAAAAAACTAGAAAAACTGCATAAGTTTCCACAAAAATATTAAGCAGAACTATTTTCAACATTGACAATAATAACTGTCTATTACAATAATAAAGTTTAAAACAGATAAGACAGATTAAACAAAGATGTTACTAAAAAATTTTAATCATACTAATATTAATTATATTATTAATAATAATAACAGTATTTCTGTTTTTATTTATGATCCATTAAATGCAGCCTTGGTGATCATAAGAGGCTTCTTTTAAAACATTTTAAAATCTTACCCAACCCAAACTTTTAAATGGTAGTGTTTCTTGCCCCCTCTTTTTAATATAAAGGATGATAAAAATAAAAATGGTACATATGATGATACACTTCTGGAGTCTTCAGTACCAAGTCTTCTTAAGTCATACATCAGTACAACAGTGTATGAAAATCTTGAGGAAAAGTAGCTATGTCTGACTCATGATCGAATCGTTCTGTGGAGTCTGATCTTTTCAATGAATCGTTATATTCAGTTCACAAAACCGGTCTGAATGATTCGTTCTCTGATCTCAAATTCAACTCACTGATTCAGGGATGTTGCCACGCTTAATAAAACAACACAAGCTATCATATGACTTGCATTATGTTATTAGTTATTTGGACCACTTTTATGATATTTTATTGTAACTGCATAGAAAAGAGCAACCAACACATTATGCAAAAGTCCTACTTTTGTGTCAAAAGAAAGTCATACCAGTTGGAGCAACATTTTTCATTTTTTGGGAGAACTATCCCTTTAGTGAGATTCTACTACTTCCAAATTCTTGATTTTTAATATTGAGAGGATATAGGATATTGAGTTAAATTTTCAGATCTTATAAATACTGTACTTAGTATCAACCAAATGTTCACAGTGATAATGTATAGATAAAGAGATGTGATAGTATGGTGTTACACAGTTAACTATTCTGCGAAGCAAAGTACAGGATTATGGAAAATATGCCAAAGGGCCTTTTCCATGGCAACTGCAATCGGTTTCCATTCTGACATGATCTAGAATGAACACTCCAATGAATCCTCACCATGACCTTTACCATTGTGCACACCGCCTTCCTGAGTATGTGTGAGCTTGTCGGTTTTCCGGTCTCCATTTCAAGAAGCTCTATGATTTAGCTCAATAACTTTAAAACCACCTCATGTATCTGTCTTACGAATATATGACCACAGAAAGCAGTAAAGCTCACATGATAAACAGCAGTTCTAAGAATCCAGAGATTTATCCTGGTAATAGCAGGGTCAGAGCAGAGAAGGCACTGAATCTACAGCCAAATCTAATAAGGTCATGCAGTGTGCATGTGCTAAGGGCAGTGATGTGTCTACTCAAATTGGATATGGGGGAGGAGGAGGGGAGGCTGGTGTCTTGAGTTCCGCCCTTCTTACCCACTCCAAGCATCTGAAACCATATTACAGACTTCCTTCAGGCAGCGATTAGCATCTCCAGGCTTGAGCACAGCACGCTAATGTGAAGGAGAGACTCTGTATTCAGCCCTGTTCAGCTGAGCGCACTGGGCCTAGCTCTGACTTCCTGTGCATTAAGACATGAGTGTGCTCAAACAAAAGGCTGTCTTATTAGCCGAAGCTCTGCCCTGGAGCTCTGGAGAGAGCTGGATTTTGAGGCAGGGGAAAAATCTTGTTTTGAATTTTGTAGCTGTTTTTCCTTTGATTTGGTAATTAGTCCAAGCTACTAGGTGTGTATGCCTTCACTGAGGTTTACCTTCACATAGTGAATCAGAGACTCCTCCTCGTTGACTTTGTATGTTTTCACCCCGTACTGTTTGGCTATCCTCAGGATGCGGTTTTGAGTGGGCCCAATGTACGCTCCTCCCAGATCCACCCATTTGGTCTCCTTATTCTGAAGGCAGACAGAATTTGTGCAGGATTAACAATGAAATTGTCACTAAAAGCCACAGTGAGAGTAAAGAAAGGAAAAACAAAAAAGGAAGTGGTAGAATATGCACGCAAAGACAGCAGATTTCGGTCCATGCATAGGCAGTGTCCCACTAGCCAACTTGAAACTCGATTTAGATTTTTTCGCCATTCTGTTGTCAAACTCGCTGTGGTGGCAAGCATCCGATTTGACTCGAAAGACTTCGTAATTGAAGTTCATGACTAAAATTCGGGAGAAAAAAATCATCCAGTGGGATGCCAGCCTGTGCAACTAAAGAAAGACTTGACTAAGAGTGTGCAACATTGACTAAATCCTGATGTATTGGGGATTTTGTTTATAGCGAGTGTGTTTTTGTGCAGGTACCTTGGCTGGTTTAGGGATGTCATAGTCAGCTGACTTCAGAAACTTTCATTTTCTTCATATTCAGCACAACGGTTACTTGCAGCAGTGACAGAAATGAACATTTATGTTAAGGCGCAATATTTGCCCCCTTACACTATTAAGATTCCAAAAGGTTTTTTTTCCTCAGCAATGCCATAGAAGAACCATTTCTGGCTCCTCAAAGAACCTTTCATTCAACAGTTCGTAACAGAACCAAGTTACTCTTATGTTACCTTTTGTGGAATGGAAAGGTTCTATGGAAGTTAAAGGTTCTTCATGAAACCATCATTGCCAATAAAGAACCTTTATTTTTAAGAGTGTAGATTGACTTCCTGGGGCATTTTACCTTTATAAGGGCATTTTTCTAACTTTATTTGATGTATGTAACAACTTTATGTAAAATTATTACATTTAATCATTAAATTAAATTATAACAATAGGGCTATAGCACTATAGGGCTGTTACCAATCAATTGTAACCAGCATCAACTAAACCCATTTTTGCTCTGCAGAAATGGCACAGAAGCTGAAGAATCTGAAGTGACATTTAGATGCATTTACAGACTGTTGAATGCAGCTCAAAGGTGGCATAAATGCAATTACAATTACATAAATAACGTTTTAAAAATACACTTTTAATACTGAGATATGAAGCGACCTAAAAAATGCAATGATTTTTCTAATAGGCAACATCACAGTAAATGTGTGGAGCGAGTTTTCTTTTGTTTCTCCAAAGTAAGTAACATAATGTTAGCTTGCACATTGTTTAAACAATAATTACGATCTTAATGTAAGCAAAACATATCGCACACCCCAGTTGTGACTATAGACTATAGTCTTAACCCAGACGTAGAAGCAGACCATTTGTGCTGAAATGAAGTAATTTTATTTGATTTTTAATTCAGATGAGTATCTTACCTGAACAGTGAAGGTTCTTCCACCAACACGGTTCCTGGCTTCCAGGAGGACAGGATTCAGGCCGCTCTCCACCAACAGCTTGGCAGCACTCAGACCTGTCAATAGGGAGTGTAGAAATGCAGTGTAAGATTTTAGTAGACATATGCACCAATATTTACTATACTTGTCTTTGAGAAAACTTATTTTTATAGGGGAGACAACAATAAATGATGAGGAGAAAGAGGCAAATGAATCAGAACTTGTTTCACCAGCACTTTGGCTAACCGCTAAGCTTCAAAAACTTAAGGAAAACTTTAGAGTACATTTAACATGCTGGAAGCCTGTGGTCTAGTTAAAAATAACTATTTCCAAACTGTTTCTGTCCTTATTATATTAAAGGTTGTTCCTGTCTTGAAAACATATTTCCTTTCTGACTGCATAGCTACCATTGTTACAGGCTTTCTATTATTGTGTGTGATATTATGAATGGCCTTTTAAAAATAACATCCACATATTTAAACCTCTTCTATGTGAACAATATTAATAGTTTGTACATCATTTGCCTCAACCTCCAATGGGAAGGCACTAGGGCCTGGCTTGCCTTGTACAATGTAAAATACTTGGCAAATGTGCCAGCCACATGTGAGCTGATATTGTTATATTTTATTTGTGCTGATATTTGGTCAAATTAGTCAAATGGACCTGGGAGTGCTACTGTATATTCATATTAGTAACTGAAACTATAATCCAAAAGCCAAAAGCATTTAATGAACACGCAAGGAGAAGGGGATGTGTGTAACTTTGTGAATAGTGGGTGTTTCCAATTCTGTGGAAATCTGCCAGGGCTCAACAACAATGTTTTAATGCAGTTCTGGTTTGGCCTGTGGTTATTACTTGCTCTGCCAACATTTCCCAGGAATTGCCACAAACGTGATTAAAAAATTAAAACTAATTAAATTAAAATTAAAAACAGTAATATTGTGAAATATTATTACAATTTTAAAGCAACTGTTTTCTATTTTATTATATTTTGAAATTACCTGGTGACATACTTAATTAGTCCAATCTCACAATAACAATGTTTAGTCTATCACAGAAAGCCAAATGTTAAAGTCTCAATGTACATGATCAAAAAAAAAGAAAAAAAAGTAATTCATAGTGACAACACAGCACTGGGCCTATAGTGCAAATGACATCACCAACTGGCCTGAAACTCTCTCACAGACTCAGGCCTTATTATTGAAGCCTTTGTGTCATGGGTAAATGAGAAAAAAATAATAATAATCTTCACAGAATCTAAAGGCTTGTTCACACCAAGAACAATAAAGATAACGATAAAGTTCTAAATATCCAGCTAATGAACGATAAAAACATTGACAGCCAATCAGAATCCTTCCAACTTTAAAAAGCTTGAGCATTTAAAGTGGCAGATGACAAAACTGCAGCATGCATTTAGAATAAACAGAACGATATTGTCTGGTGTGGACATATATATATATATTGTTCTCGTTCTTGGTGTGAACAGGCCTAAAGATGTCCCTTGGGGAACAACATTAGTATAAAACAGTTATATTATCTTTGTATATCTTCCCTGTAATCAGGCTGTGTAGTGATTATGGTGTCAGAGCAATAAACTCACAACTGGAAGCCAGAAGAGAAAACTAGGTTCCCTGCATGGGAAAAAGAAAAACCCAACCACCAATTCACATAAGTTTCCTGTCTCCACACACACACACAAGCACAAACACTTCCTCTCCTTACAGAGGAAGTAAAACTGCTCCTGTGAATTTCTGATGATGTGGTTTTTACAATGTAAGAAAACTAGGACATTTCCAGACTGCACTAGCTTATGAGTACTTTGGCAAATAATGTGGACATTATTTTTCAAAATTTATATTGTTAAATTATTAATAATGATAAATATATTTCATTTTTTTAAAGGCCTTTTGTCCCTACGACAACTAATATGTGGGTATAAAAGCTGCATGTAAAATTATTACACAACATTTAGATAAAAGCAGTTTAAAATAGTTTCAGATGGAGTTTAGCACATGGCAATGGCATGTCAAACATTAAAAATAAATAAATTCACAAATAGAAAAATTAACCCATTTTTTAAAATGCTGTGTGCATACAGCCACAGTGATGTGACAATGCAGCAGAGGACATCTGAGGCAAAAGCATGACCTTGGAATCTTACATAATACTGCAAACTCCCTTTGACACCCAGACAAACAGTTTACCCAAACACCCAGGACAAACATCTGAAACATTCTCCATGATTTGGCTACTGTGGCCGGAAGTGACCCATATAAACTACAGAGGCTTACAAAACCTGGCCACAGCTGTAAAGCCTGATCTCTGACAGGTTTGATATGATTGTTTTACTAAAGGATGTTTTGGTTGAACCACAGTGCTAGAAAGAAACCGAATATAAACCTCCAAAGCTTTGTTCACACTACACACAAATGCAATTTGGTTTTCAAATCTGATATTTAGAACTGACTGTCCATTTTGCAAGTGATGAAATCTGATCTGTTTGTTCAGACAGCGTAGTCAATATAATTTTTATACATCGGTTACTATAGATATGCGTTAGCACGATGTCAAGAGAGTCTCATTCAACAACAGAGTGGATGTCAGTGTGAAAGAAAAGGATGAAAAATAATAGACATTTAGTCTCAGCTCATGTCATCCCATCCTATATATCATGACATCCCACCATGATGCTGAACTCACATGGTGAACATTTTACACATTCATGCATATACAGTGTTCGAAAACACTCACTACATAGTGAAAGTCAAATAAAGTTCCCTATGGGTCGGATTTACTAAACAGGGCAAATTAGCACGTGGCCGCAATCTATTAAAAACGCAGATGGGAGTGGAAATTTCTGAAGGTGATTTACTGACAATGCGCAAATTCAAGTACCAAATCGGATAAGACGTGCTTTCATTGGGCGGTAAATAATAATGGAGCAAATACCACTGAATTGACCACCGCGTTAGTAAATTACGTTGCATGATATATTTAAATACTCAGCGCCCATGCATAAATGTAGCCACCTGAAGGAAAACTCCTACAAATGCCTATGCAATAAGGGCGCAAAACTTACTTTTCATCGCTGATTTCTAACTGTAAATCCTGAGTTTTTTAACGGCAAAAGAGGGTTTGTGCGGGCGCAAGCTGTTTGTAGATCTGGCCCTATATGAGGAAAAGGTGAGCAAAATGAAATTCGAATCCAGCTCTGGACAATATTACAAACGTTGCATGATGTAACATATGTATCCAAAGCAAGGGGGGGGGGGGGGGGGGGACATGAATTTCCAGCATTCAGACTAAAAGTCTGGTTTGGATCAGGTTTGTAAACATGTTTTTTGCTGCTCAGGCAACAAAACCCCCAAAACATTGGTAAGTTAAACAGAGCAAAAAAAATGTGCTGCCTATCTGAACAAAGCGGAGACACAAAACGACAAAGGAGCTCACAGACAGATGCGCTGCAGTGAAATCTGATTATTTAACCAGGTGGCATGAGGCGGAGGTATTCAAGTCTCAACCCAAAGATATGGAGGACGAAATTGTTCCAAGAACCAATTCAACGAAACCTCATATTTCACACGTGTCAGCAATTACTGGCCTATCTGATGCTATTATATCAAGCACAGTGCAAACAATGTCATGCATACTCAAACACACAGATCTGAAAGCTCTGTGATGTGTATAAAATATTATATGATCCATATGTGGTGTTTATTTCTGTTTGTAACTACTTGGTTGAACTGATAATTTTCTTTTTACATAAATATCATAAATCATGTGAGAAAGATCGGTCTCGCACGTTTGAGAAGGCTGGCTCACAAGCATATATTTTCTTCTTTCAGAGACAGAAAATGGTCAGGAAAAGCTGGAAAAAACATTTGAAGTTGGCAGAAACACAATAGTAGCTGTGGTCTTTGTCATTCGAGTGCAGCGCTGAAGGGACCACATTGACTGAACTCTGGCTCTGCCAAGTAAACACACACAAGTGAATACAAAAATGAAGCTTGCGCTTGCTAAAAACAACATGTTTACAATAAATACTGGAGACATTAACAGTAAAAGCACAGTAAACATCTCAAAGTGTGTTCAAGCTCAAGAAAGTTTTGCGTTTTCATTAGCTCACAATTGTAGCCTTTCACACAGCAAATCTGCTAAATATTTGAATTCTTGGTCTATGTGCACATGCATGTGGTTACATGTTTTTTAGTCATGTTTTTTTTATCAGTGGGGGCTCACATCTGTGCAAATGCATCAGTCGTTCAACTGTGTCTCAGAGTTGGACATCCTGCCAGTTTATATATTGATTCAAGTAGTGTCTGGATTCTAGTCCTCCACCCTTATTCTTCAAGTCCAACTTCCAGCCTTCACACTAAACTTGGTTACGGTATTTATCTGACAAGGCAAACTACAGCTTACAGGTTTTATTTTACTACACAGAATATTGACTACAACATAACCTTCTATCTTGTTTTTGCATGTGTTCATAATTTCTTTGTATGACAGCCTGTCAAAAAATTATGTCTGCACAATTTGGCATGTCTCACTGTGTTATCACAAATAAAACAATTGACTCCAAGACCAACTACACACTGCTTACAATAAGAACATTTTCATCATATGTAAATAAAGGGTGAAGATGTAAATTTTCCTAGGCCGGACATCACTTTTGGCCACTACCATTATAAATGGCTCTAAATAAAACTGAACTTTGATGTACATCCTGGCTCTACAAAGGCGCATAATTATGTTTAGCACAACTAATTCAGTTTAAATATTAAATAAAGACTTGAGTTCAACTTTAAAGCATGCAACAGAATAACATCCACCACAGAACAAGAGAAGTGGGAGATTCACAGTGGGATTGTCAAACCACTGAGGAAAAGGTCAAACTTTTTTTGAAGAGAATTCTGGGAGATCAAAGAGCTTGTCTTTGACTGGAAAAGTCTCAGTAACGCTCTTTCAAGGGTTAGTTCACCCAAAACTTACTCACCCTCATGTCTTTCCAAACCCTTAAGACCTGCGTTCATCTTCGGAAAACAAATGAAGATATTTCTGATGAAATCCGAGAGCTTTC